CTCTATTTTTGAAATAAGAACGAAAAAGTAAACGACGACATTGATGTTATCTTCATGTCCGTGGAGAGATTCTTCTCATGTGAAATCTAAGAAACCATTTGAAGTCAATATTGTTAATTTCAAACTATCATTGGCCAAATGCGCTTGAAGTAGAATAAAGAAAAAGATCAGTGAAGAAAGGTCATCTATACTGAAAAATAACATGAGCAGCCTTATTAAAAAGTTTTTTTTATGTGACATGATTTTGTTGAACTTAGAATGTGTTTATGAACATAATTATGTTTGTATTTTAAATGTAAATTTGCGAAAAGTATTTCTGCATCAAACATTTTGAATTGGGTTGAAAATTTGTATAGCTTGTATGTTCATAAATGCTAAGTTTTACGATTTTACTCTAAATCTATTAAAATATTTACGAAGTGAAACTTGTTTAATTTTAAGTTTTATTAAATTGAAATAATTTAATATTGGAAGTGCAACATCCACAAAAATCCTAGTGAGCGGTCACGTATAAAATGGGTTATTTTTTTCATTATTTGTCGTTGTTTTATACAACCAATAAAATACTCTAAAGCCTGCATCATTTGCTTTATTTATAACTTAGGTATATAGATAAGGTAAATGCCTTATAATGAGATGTAGGTACATGTCCATCTACGCTTATGTAACATTACGAAATAATATATCAACAAGTAAAACATTGTGTAAAAGAGACTAAGATTATTGAGACAAAAACAAACGTGCACCAACTTTTTTTTAGTGGAAAATGATCAAGTGATTTCTTTTTATTAACTAGTCATCATACTGTTTTAAAACCCTCGTTCCTTCTCCTTCTCCAGGCCGAGGCCGCTGTAGCTTATTGCGCTTGCCCCGCAACCCTGGCTGAATATCAGCCATGATCTACAATTACAGTAGCTGGAGATCGCTGCTCTATCCCCAACGCCCGGAGTGTAAACGAACTTCATCATCATCATCATCATCAGCAGCAGCCTATAAGTTCCCACTGCTGAACAAAAGCCTCTTCTCATACGGAATAGTTAGAGCATTAATCACCACGCTTGCTCAATGATTGCACGATGTTTACCTTACCGTATGTCAGTGGTGTCTAAACAATCATAGAAAGTACTTGCCAGGTTTCCAACCCTCATGCATAAGAAGCGGGCTGCTTTACCTCCGGGCCACAACGACATTTTTACTAACGAGCTTCACTTGCACATAATCATCACAAGCCTGGGATTAAACCTAAAAGAGTTTTATTCAATATCTAGCTGTGCCTCCAAGGTTTGACTTGCGAAACTTAAATCTTATGTGCATCGGGGATAGCGTAGCTACACACAATATTGAAGTCTTTTTGAAATCTATGTTAATTGAGAAAAAAAAACCAGTCAAAGGTTTTCTCTTTGTATAGATGAAACATGTATCTACATACATATTTATTTTTCTGCATGTCACTTAAAATTACTAGATCAACCTCTGAACTGTATAAAAGTTACCCGATTACAGGTAATTATTTCACGGTTGGAGAAAGCAAGTACATTCATTACGCAATAAAAACCCTTGATTAATGACGAAAGTCATCAAATGCCTTCTAACGCCCTTGGTGCGACGCTAGTTATGGTCACTCTTACGACCTTCTCCTGCTCCGAGCCGCGGCCGTCTGTCATGATGTCTATGCTAACAACAAGTATATTTAAGTGTGGGAGAGCCATGCTTCGGCACGAATGGGTCGGCTCGACCGGAGTGATACCACGGCCTCACAGAAAACCGACGTGAAACAACCGCAGCGTTGTGTTTCGCCTTGTGAGTGAGGTAACCGGAGGCCCAATTCTTCCCCACCCCCAATCCCTCCTCAATCCCTAAATCTCCAAATCCCTAATCCCTAAAAGGTCGGCAACGCACTCGTAACTCCTCCGTTGCGGGTGTCCATGGGCGGCGCTGATTACTTACCAGCAGGTAATCCGTCTGCTCGTTTGCCGATCTATTACATAAAAAAGTATGTAATTTTATGTTTGTTATTTCCCGAGTGAAGTAAATAACATAAATAAAAGTGAAGTAAATAGCAATAATATAAATAATATTTTACCGGACCTGGAATCAATTAAATACGATAGGAAAACTTCTAATTACTTGATCAATGCGACATTTTAAATGAGACTTTTTTATTCTAATAATTGGCTAAAATGTCTTGTTTCTAAAGATCTAAAAACAATCTTATTTTGACTAAGTACACTGCGTACGGAAAGAGCCCAATTTTTGATAAAAAAAATTGCTAATTCTGTACATATGTACTTACCTATGTCCAAATAATACATATCAACATTAGCCCCTGCGCTCCATCATGCGTCGGAACACAAACTACAGAAATAATTTATTGAAAAGTTCAGAAGACTTCAACTATAAGGGATATTAGATTAAAAGCGTTAATTATTCTTACAATGTAACATTTTTCTTTAAACGGTGTGTATATGGGTAAGTATGTGTCTTAAGAACGCATGTCTTGTAAAACTATAAAGAGCTTTAAAGAGCTCGGCAAATCCAATAACATCTCTCATGCTTCAAGACTACGATCTTTTGGTCCTTAAAACCCGGTATCACCTTAATAAATCCATCCTTTGTTTAAATATGAGGTAAAGGATTGGAATGTCCGCTATGCCTGGGTCAGAAATAGGAAGTGTGGAGCTATCAGTGGGCGGTAAGATACGAAGCGTCGGCGCCTTTGTACGTGCTCTCAAAATGCCCTCAATAAGCATTGGTTTACTCAACATTTAGCGCATTCACATTCCTACCGCGCATGCTCCATTGGAGGACTCTAGGGTTGACCCTACAGAATAACAATTTAACTGTCATAAAAAATATAATTAATATAATATAATTTGTAACCTCCTTCTTATTTTACTTTTGAAGCTTCGTAATAAGATTTTGTTTTTCGAAATTAATAAACAAGTCTGACTTTTATAAACAGTGGCATATCAAAAATGTAACAAATACTTTGTAAGATAAAATATCGCTAGTGAAATACGCTAGTGAAAACTCAACGTTATTTAATTCACTAGCGAACCGCACCAGCTTCGCACGGGCGCAATATTGATACTTAATAACTCCACTATGTAACGTATGTTTTATAATTATGTATAATTAATTATAAAACTTCCTCTTCAATCACTTTATATGTAAAAATACCGCTTCAAAATCCGTTGAATAGGTACTTCTAAAGATTTAAGCATAGAAATAGGGATATAGGGATAGAGAAAGCGACTTTGATTTATAATATGTAGTGATTCGCACTAAATAAAAGTAATAATATTCAATATCAAGGTATCTATTGCAACATTTTTGTATATTTTACAAAATTTCTAAGCACAACATTTAGTATGTAGGTACTCTGCTATGATTTTGTACAGCGCTGTTCAGGTAATTATAAAAACTTTTTTTTTGTTTGTTTGTTTGTTTTAACTATCGTCTTAAGCCGACCCGTCTTTCTTTTCGTGCCAAATGGTCTGTCTTGGCTTGTCCAGATTTAAGGTTTAAGTAATTGGAGTTCAAAAATGTAAGCTGTTATTAACGGCACTATATCCAAAACAATGACGGTTTTTGCTTGCTTTTTTGCGGATTATTTACTTTATGTCTTTTTTAGCAATTTGGAAAGGTAAACTATCTATTGCTAAACAATATTTCTGAAGGGAGAAAAAGCTAAATGACCACAAAAGCCGTTGAATTTTGGCATCTTAAAAAATTATAACTCCTTTTTAATTCGCTGTAAGCCGGTTAAAAGAATCCAAGTGAATGCCCCACAACACAGCCCTATTGGTCCAATAATTCTCAATATTGACAGTAATATTAAGACAGTATTATGGGTCTAATTTAAAAGTACGCGTTTATTTAACGTACACACTTCCGTTGGAAAATTAAGTGACAGAATGTTCCCATTCATTCATTCATTCATGTTCGTGAATGGATTGTGTTACGTCCAATCTCGGGAAAAGCTGAATTGTACTATCATTTGTAATATCAGTCCAATGCCGAACTGGTCTCCTGTAAGTATATCAAACAGTGTTCCCATAAATCCATATAAGACTAGCGGATTGCAGATCACAGTTTTAATGGTGCCGTTTTAATAGAGAGCGCTGTGGCCTGATCTGTTAAGTAGGCCCTTCACTGACTACACCCGTTGTAAGTTGGGGCGGTAAAAGATGTTTCCACACTACCGTCAGTCGTACAGAGCAGCAATGAAATTACTGTTATCGAAATTGACAAGCAATTTGGAAAGCCGCTGGACAGACTTTGCTGCAAGAGAACGTTCATACTAGCGGCTAAACTAAGAATTTTTCATTGATTGCAACCATGAGCTAAATAAGTTTTGTTTTAATAAAACATTTCTAATAAGGTAATGCTAAGTAATAGGTCCTTAGCAAAATTAAGTTTTAAACTAAAGCAACTACCAAATTTCATAGATACGTTGCCCTTAATGTAACTTATGTTGATGATTAATATCTACAAATATTATATTTGTATAAGTTTAAGAAATCGAATACACGGGTTGTTCTACAATAGGTATTCTTGCTTCCTAATGATGACATAGGCACAATGGACGCTCCAAAAGCCGTCGGCAGACGAAGACCCGAGCAAAAAGCCTAAACTGCGAAAACAAAGCAATCTACGCACATGTAAAACGTGGCCATTAATTTACCGCGACTAATCGCAATTATTCAAATAAATCGCGCGTCTTTGTTGTTATATTGATGATCAGGAAAAACATACAAAACAGTGTAGATTAACATGAATTTATTTAGTTCATCAAATGTGTTCCGTGATAGTGCTTCGTAAATTCTAACAAATCATGTGTTTACAAACGATTTTCAAACATCAAACTTGAATACAACAAGCACATTGACAATGATTCATGTTACAAAACTCATTATACAAATATAAATGGGAATGAATATTGTTAGCACCACAGTATTATACATAAATATTACCAGAAAACAAAAAGGCAAAACAATTTATTTTTTCTCACTGGGATTGGCATATTAAACTTTTAAATCAAGTCACTGACAAACAATATCTTATAAAGCCCATTATAGGTATGTATATTAACTTAAAAAATAAATACAACCTTTCCAATATGAGAATAATTTCGACCAAAGAATTAATGATTTTCAAAAACAATGTCAACAGTGTATTCAGTGATTTATTATTTACTGTGTATGCTATAGAAATTGGAATAAGAATAAATTATTCTAAAATGTAAGCTATTATTTACAGAACATTTAATACTAGCAATAATCTCATTGAACTTAAAATTGTTGCACCTACTTCTCAACGCCACAAATGGGAAGATAAATTATTAACAATGTCATGCCATACAATGGCACATATCACTGCGTAAGTGAAGTCAAACTTATGAGATTCGCAATGAATATAAAATTATTCAACACAATCAAAATATATAAACATTAGGTACCTATCGTTATCAATTACGAAACAATGGTATAAACAATTAAATATAATATTAATTTATTATTTAATTTTGCAAACAAATCTACACAAAATACTTACTTAATTTTAATCTCTGAAAAGGCACTTGCAGCATTGAGAAATAAATAAACCGCTTAAAAACAATCAATGTAATAATACTTAACCATAATAATAATAATATAAAAATATAGCTATATCTATATTTACAATCAAGTGACGAAATTCAATACATTACATTTATCCGTACCGTTTTAAAGGAAAGGTACTGAAATTGCTATAAGGCGTGAACACTTACATAACTACAATTAAGTCTAAAACCAAAAAGTCCCACATTCTTGACGTACAGACTGTTTCAATAAACGGTAAAAGTTGTATGAACATGTTCTTACAAATGTGGCAAGAACCTCATTAAAGAAAAAGCCTTTACTTCAGGAAGTTGCATAAGTGTCTCCGCTTACAGCTTTAAAGTACTACAGCGTAGTACGAAAGAGTATTAAAAGTTTTTTTTATTGTTCATCTGGAATTCCGACGCAAATATTCCACATGATTGCACTGAATATATCACACATATATATTGTGAATGCACTGGGTCGCCTTGTCGGGGCATTGTTCAGTGTGCAAGGAGCGACGGTGCGAGGGACACCGCTTAATGTCACTACGCGAAGTTGTCACTGTGTGCGCAGTAATGTTGCTGATGAGGTCACAGCAACGGGACGGGGGGCACGCCCGGCACCAGCGGCTCAGGCACACCCTGCAGCACCCCCTGGTGGTAGTGGTGGTGGTGCATCATACCATTCATCATCTGCTGATGATGTAACATTGTCGCATGGTGCAACTGTGCGTGCTGCAGCGACGCGTGGTCTCCCTTCTCCTTCATCACCACTTCTTCACGTTTCTTCACCTGTTTACGCTCCTTGGCGCGTCGGTTTTGGAACCAGATTTTTACCTAAAACAAAGATGTTTGTGTTAGTAAAAAATTGGACGAATTCCATTAATGGTTAGGTCACTAACTTGTAGTGGTTTCGCATACATAACCGGAAAAAGAGTAGGTAGTCAATATGCTATTCCAGCTTACAATCTATCTCTTTGGAGATATTTCGATTTAAATTCGTTCAGTAGTTCTACTCTACAAATTACTTGAAGAGTAAAATCTCTATTCACATGGATATCCATCCATTGATAAAATAGTTTTGTTATTCCTGTCTTTTGTGACTTTTACATCGCGCTTTATAATTGCTTTTCCGTGATGTGGGTGAAGCTAATATTGACCACTACCTTCTACTTGAAAGTTTAGCCTTTGATTTACAAAATATTCATTATTTTCAGCGATTCAAACATACCTAGAAAAAAATACAAAGATAGTAAATATATTAATAATTACCTGTCTCTCAGAGAGTCCTAAGCTGACGGCAAGCTCAGCTTTGCGCCGTATGGTAATATACCGGCTGTAGTGGAACTCCTTCTCTAGCTCCAGCCTTTGATGATCACTGTACACCACGCGGTATTTGTCTTTCGTGCGCGTTTTACCTGCAACAATGTCATCTTCTATTAAATATTATATAGATTTCACCTCAGATTCTTCTTATTGCTATGACAAAAACACAATATAAATGAATAGTCAAAAAGTTGAAAAACATTGTACATTAATCTTGTAAGTGGCCGTTATCCTTTCACAACTTTAGTGGAACATAATTCCTCGATTTACTCCATGAAAAGTCTTTTATATTCTCGTAACGAGGCACGCAGCCGCGGAACGTAATGTAGGGAGAGTTGTGAGGGAACAAATCCCGAGGGCTCGATAAGGTAAATCCAGGCGGTGCGATCAAGGGACGCCGCGCGCTCGCGGCTTAACGTGGATCAAGCCGGGACCACACCTTGCGACCGCTGGCATACCCACACCCGAAACACTGCGCGAGATGTTCCTATATCACACTGTCTTTACAGTACATGTTTTTGGAACGTTTTGGTGGGGTTTTGAATAGTTATTTAAATGGGTAGATATTTGATGTTAATGCAAGCCTATGTATACGAGAATTGTAATGTACAAAAAATAAGTGAGGTTTATATTTTCTTTAAATTCACGAAAATTGACTATTGTTAAGACTTTTCAGAATGAAATTCTTTTATGCAAAACTGTAACATAATTTATTATTTACTTTCTTATTTAACAAACGCAAGATTGTATATTATCAATTGAAACGTTAATGTTTTAGTAATGATAAAATGTGACAAGGAATTGCAAGATATTAGTCAGGTATGCAATTCATTTGCAAATATTGCCAAAGATAAATAAGAGAATATGGTAATTTCTTTGTTATTATAATACACTCAATAATGTTAGTAAAAGTTGTATAGTTAAGTATTTTAAAATTCAGCTTTTACAAAACTTTAGCAATCGTTGCGTAATAATCACAAGGCCGGATACTAATATCTTTGTGTGTTTTGGTACATAAATAGTAGATAGGTATTCAAAACTCGAAAACCCACTATCACAAGAGGATCTTTGAGTGATATTTACGTTTAAACTTTACAACAGTTATGTAGACACACAGATTATACATTAAATCTGTATGAAATGGGGGAATTCTGTGGGATTTTTCGTAGTGTCGAAAATGTAAATTTTGTTTACAATTTTTTATCTGTAGTGTAGATGTCTCAACGAGTAAAATTACCATGATACGTATATCTATGTACATAATACTAAGACAGAGGTGAGGTGTCTGCGTGTGTACCTACTCGGAGTGTGTAAATATTCCTTATCTCGGTATTAAGAACTTCATAAATTATGTTTGTCACTCGCGAGAGAATCGCTGAGGAATTAGACATTTTACGTAACATTTATACTACAATTGTAATAATTGAACAATTGCCATCTTCGTTTTTTTAATAGTTATTTTACAAACATAATGTGTAATTATTAGGGTAGTATTTAATAAAAAGCAACGAATCTATTGATTAGTCAGTCTGAGTTGCATCTATTGTCATCTATTCCACCATTGTTCAACTGTTTTCCACCCAAAGGAAGCGAGGTAGAATATGTACGGTAACACATACCTAAATAAATGCACACAACAAACGTAAAAACAGGTTGAATTTCAAGTTCAAACAAATTGATATTGTTACGCTATCATTACATTACCGGGTAAACAATAACAAAGCAAAGGTAACTAACCTTAAACTTTAAAAAGCAATTGAATTTTATTAGGGCTTGACAAGTATATTATACGATGTAGATACAAGCCGGCTAGATATTATAATATTTACAACATTATAAAACCGACGATATTGGCTGCACCTTAAGGGGTCAAAAGACAACACGCTGACATGTTTTGATTCACCACTACAAAGTATACAAGATAACTCTTTACAGAGTTCCAATGACAGAAAATTATAACTTAAATAAATTTCCGGTTAGGGGAGCAAACAAAAGGGGATGGCAGATAACTGGTAAGACAAACAGAAATGTGTTCCATCCATAGGCGATACAGCCGATGCGGCGTTTGATAGCAAGCGCTAACAACTACAGCAAACTGCTACGGAGACGAACCATGAAAAAACTGACCATTTTTTTACGTATCAGAATGAATAAGAACCTACTTTCTGAATACCTGCATGAATAATTGTCGGTATATCAAATAGTCACGTCCTACTCTTGTAGATAAGTGGCACTGAAGGTCACCTTAGTATCGCAATGTTTTCGTTTACCTCTATTGTTCTACTTTAAATGTTGTTGACATTTAAAAATCCTCGTTTATAATATGCGCGGATAAAGAAACGAATTCACATTTATAATTTAATAATGGAACACAAGTTGAATGATTTACAACTTAATTATCTACAAAAATGAATGTAGAAATTAGTAAATTTATGGTGCAACTAATAAAGTAAATAGCTGCATTATCATGGTAAGATTTAACCAAAAAATACTTGGTTGTTTGCTGTGGGCAAACAGTGCGGGCGGGCGCGTCGGAGGGCGGCGGCGAATACTGTTTAGTCAGCGGTTATCATGGACAAATAGGTGCATAAGCACTCAGATAGGCCCAGTGACAGATAAACCAAGCCAACCTTTTATATGCCAACGACAGTTTTAGCAGAATTTTCGTAAAGCTGCAATTATTATCATCGGCTAAACTTAGTTTAAAACGCACAAAGACTAAACTTATTCATAATTTATATTTGTAACAATGAATAATAAACAAAGCAGCTATGTATCATAAAATGATGATAAAAACCGGCTTTTATAGGTAATTATTGATGTTATATCATAATATCCTATATCTTTCTACTAGGATTAACGATTAAAAGATTTTTAACATTTTTCTAGTAAAGAAAAATCACGAAATAAATGAATGATTTTTCAGTTTGGTTTTTTTACTTTGTATGAATTTGTTTGCTCTGCATAACAATAAAGTGGTCAAGTCTGTAGATATGGCCAACGTAATCGGTCAACTCACCGTTTAATTCCCACACTAAATCACTGTAATATAACTTAATAATTGTACACTATAAATGTATTTCAGAATGCGTTATAGTATACAACTTATGACTATTACAATATAGGATTTATGATAAGGCAAATCACTCATTTACTTCAAGATAAACCTGCGTCGCGGTTCGAATACGTCACGAAGTGTAGAACTGGAACTATAATTTCTGAATTATAATTGTTTAATGATCCAACCTGACTGACTTTTTGTCATCAATAGTAAAATTCCAGATCTGGGTTGAAAGCTTAGTGGAGTCATTGTATCCATTCAGTCTGCATAGTACAATCATAATACCTAATACTGGATAGTTTTATCGCGTGTAATAAAAGTAACGGCCACAGGTATATCAGATACTGTCCAAAGTTCGAAATAGTGCGATTCGCTTTAACAGTTACCTAATTTTAAAAGAACGAGTAAGATCTTCTATTACCATTTTTCGCGTACATTTTTTAAATTTTTTACCATGTAACTTTGACGTGGAAGTATAATAGCATTACAAGATTAGTAATGTACACACACTATCGTACACAACCGATTGCTTGTCGAACATGTACCTAATCGGGTTTAATTGTGAAAGGAAAACTATTAATCGGGTAGTTATCAGCGTCGCTCGGGGCTTTGTCGGCCTGCCGAAATCCCGCTTTCAGTTAACGCACGATAATCGCAACTCGACTCCGATAGCGGTGTCTTTGAACATGTTGACTCAAACGCTCGTCATATCGCGTAGATACCTTCTTGTAAGCGGCTGTAATGCGTTTTTGATGGACGAGGGCGCGGCTATCGGCTGTCACGCAGATAAATACTGCTAAAAGAATCGTTTTGATACTTCAGCTCGAGATGAGTGATCCGGCTTTGATTGCTCTTTAATCTGATTTCTGAGATTTCTATATCTATATGACTACTTATTTCAAATTTCCAGGTAGATAAGAGCGGGAGAATTAAACAATATCCCGAAACTGTTCGCTTCTGCGGGATCTGCCTATAATGGATTCGCTTTATTCTATAGATAGGATTGTTTTACACTTTATATCGGCTTCACAACTCCCAAATTGTTAGCGATTGAAAACATCTCCTGATCCTGTCCGCTTCTGCGGGATTTGCCATAATATTTAATTATATAAATTTATTCTATAGACAACAGTTGATTAACAATGTCGGCTTCTAATCATAAAAGGAAAATCAGAAATTTAAAAGAATTAAAAAATCTAAAACTCCCAAATGTAAGTCATTACGTATCCGATTAATCATAGCAAGTTTATTGTTTTCGGCGTCAAAACAAAGCACATAACAACGTATTCACAACACAATAATGAATCGGTTCGCGTGAGGTATTTGCGTCAATTACCGAATCTGCATGATCGATGGCAGACGTCAGTCCAGACGCAAAGACATGAATTGATCAACTCATGCGTTACAAACTGTTTAAGTTACGCACAGCACGTGAAATGAAAGTCAATTGACGTCCAGTGGGATGCCCGAAGAAGACATTATTTACAAAACATTGAAAAACTGATGACTGATAATCCCCGCCTACTGTCTGCTCCCGTATTTTTTGCGAACCCCCGTCGAGCAACTACCGCACAAACAAGAGAGAGCATTCAACACCATCCGAAATAATTTCTCGACACCCATTCATGTTTTGTGTCCCGCAAGCCATTTGTCAGCCTCGATATATTTATCTCGGAGAGCGTGAAATGTCGGCAGTAATCTCCCGTCGAGACTGGGGATTGGTGAATGTAGTCAAATGGAGATTTATTTCTTTGAATGTCCTCAGGTTTGTGCAAACACGACTACAAGACAAATAAAGGCAGAAAAAGGTATTGTAAACAGAAAGACGGTCGGGAAGGACGCTGTGGACACAACTGTAATGTAAACAAGAATTACATGTGTTAACCTGACTTTGTATTGATGTAACGTAACAAATCTTTGCAACACGGAATCTGAGTAACATGCACATGTACTCAAAATTCGCGTGAAACTCATTATCTCCGCATTCATATCTTTCCGTGTTGTATTCAGACATCTAAATAAAACATAGTGTTTAGTTGGAAAATG